CGACATCTTTGCCAGAATGGCCAAACAACATAGCTGGACTTACCTGAGAAACTCACAACTCTGAAGATTGCGACTTACCTTATGCCGACCGTCCATCACTGGGCTCTGCCCGACGACTCTGGTACTGTATGCACACCCCAGGAACGGTGATAAAGGGGACCAAGAAATGTAGACACGACAGCAGTCATGTACCCAACGCACCCTAAGATAGTTCCATGAAAGTCAGATGTCACAAGCAACAGGAGAATGTCGATGCAGACGAGAGAATGGTCAGAATCAGAGCGACTGGCATTTGGCGCCCATGTTTAGGGCCGGCACATGCAGACTTGTTTGCGGACACCGAGAGCAACCGTGGAATAACCCCGTTCAGCTTGGCGTCTCAGGTGGTAAATCTCTACGGATGTAAAAACACGTTGCCGCCGCGGATAACTGACGGGTGATATTCAACGGTGAGATCCCATTTCCACGCTGCGACCGTTGAACGCACTTTTTGCCTTGTCGAACCGGGGGTTTTCCGGGGGCGCCAGGCCCATAGTGTCAAAACCCAGAATACCAAGCGAGCCCCGCAAACCTCCAACCCCCGCAAAGAAGCACAAAGCTGGTCCTGACAAGAGGAAGGGAAGCGTCGCTTACAGCCGCGCTGGATAACCTACGCAGTATTAGGACGATACGGGGAGCCAGGGGATGTAGATGAGATACAACGACGCGCCTAAGAAGACTGAGGCCCTCGCTGAGCGTCCCAGCCATCAATGCTGCTACGTTAAGTTGTGGTGCGGAGGCAGGTATGGTAAGCCGGGACGAGGATCTCTCGCATGCGATGACGGCCATGTATTGGAGCAGATATCGGACAACAGCCTACCACGTATGTCAAACCGGACACATCCTCTCTGCTCGTGAACTGACATCGCTGCTCCCTCGTAGTATCGCCGTAACGAGTCTACGCCTCGCAATGGTGCTGGCCAATTTGGAGATGGCCTCGAAGAAGGCGAGGAGGACGATGACGAGGACATGCTTCGGGCGCAGCGATGATCGCTCGTGCTGCTTGAACGGATAGATGCTCTGGCTGTTGTGCTACCTTCCTGTAGGTGCCCGCTTGCTGAATGTATTGCCACCCGTCCATGCTTACACTTCCCGTGAGTGGTTGGTGTTCACAAGTCCCGACACGTGCGACACAGTGAGTGCTTTCTCTATCTCGTATGACGGATACTTGTCGCATACATATGTCGCAACGACGGTAAGAACATTTGTAGGTGAGAGGTTAGCTCATTGTTGTGCGGGATGGTCGGATCCAGTAGTTGTCAGTCTATCCTGAAGGTTCTTCTGGGAAGCGAACCTGTTGTCTCAGGTTCGTGAGGGTGTTGTGATACGAAACATAGCCACTGCAACTATCAAAGAATCCTATCTCATACGTCTAGACGTGAGGCCTCGAGAATACTCGATGTCCGTGCTGTGTTTGATCTTCCCGGCGACGATGACGAGAAAGTGAGATGCCTTTCGCCTACCTTCACTCCATGCGCATGTGGCCGCCAAGTCGTTGCCTTACTCACTTGATAGTTTTTGCTGCTGGTCGGTCGCCGTTCGCAGTTATATGATCACATGTCGAACGAACTTGGCCGTATGCACAGAATACCCGACAGCGCTAAATGCTGTGAAGGACGGCCACACGCAGTCAAGGTCCTGTCCGCAGATAGTGTACGCGGCAGAATGTTGCCATTTTGCCGCTGCCATTCTGCCAGTGGCAATTGCCGTTCTGCCATCGGGCCTACGCTGGCAAATATTGGCAGATGTCATGAGCGCTTACTCCAGAAAATGACCGTAGGGACTGATTCCCAGAAGCTTCCAATGCCTGTACTCATACAAAATCCTTAGAGAAGTACAAGTTTATGATTTCTGCAAAAGCACCGCGTTTTGTGGACTCAGGACGATACTGATTGGTTTCACCTTGTTGTCGAACGGTGTGCTTCCGGCGCTCAAATAATAAGGAGCCGCCCACGCCGCTCTTCATGCGCTACACCTCTTCAGAAAGCTGGGTAGACTCATCTAAGGCCGACTGAGAAGCATAGAAAAATTACAGGTACTCCCTCAGGCGCTCTGAGGAATGTATGTCAAGGGTAACTTACTCCAGACTCGATGTCTCCCCACCAAGGCGCTTAAGTATTTGCCAGTTTCTGCCGACCATGGCAATTGCCATATCTGCCATACCTGCCGGCAGAATAGCCCGAAACATTTCTGCCATATACACTATCCGCAGATGTCCGTCTTCCACACATGAATGTGCGAAGATCATGGCTTTCAAGTCTCACAGCCCGTTTCGGAGAAGAGCACCCAGAGGGTAGGAGCGATAACAACAGGGATACACTCGATTCCTCGGATCCAAGCTCTCCTGCGACCGCTCCGTTCACTGCTGTAGTCTCACTCAGCCTCCCACACCCCTGTCATGGACGTCATCCACCCCCCTCCCACTTCCAGACACATTCCCGTCGACGTCTGCGAGAACATCATCGACCACCTATACTCAGACAGCGATATCACGGAGCAGGTTGATTGTGTCCGCGCCTTGCGTCGTTGCGCTTTGGTGTGCGGAGAATGGCGGGTCCGCTCTCAAATGAGGCTGTTCTACTGTGTTGTCCTCCATGACGTAGAAGCACTTCGAACATTTGCGGCTGTCCTGGACACTGCGCCTCACTTGAGGGACTACGTCCACGAAGTGACTCTGGTCGGACGTACCCTGCACACCACCGCCAGTCCTCTTTCGCCCTTCCCCATCGCCCTCTATGGGAAGCTTCCGAGGCTCGAGGAGCTCTGGATAAGACGCGTTGACGAAGAAGAGACCTGGTATACCCGAGCGTCCCAATCCGAAACTGGAAAGCCTCTGCCATATCTTCCTCTTCATCCCCGCTTCCCCATATGCCTCTCTGCATTCACCACAGTCACCCGCCTCAGTGTCACTCTCATTACATTCCTGCGCTTCAGTGATCTTATCAAAATGGCCATCGCCCTTCCACAGCTTCAAGACCTGCTTTGCGATAATGTACGGTGTCTCACCCTTGGCCCGCTCCCAGCGTGTATAAGACCGCAGAGCAATGAAACGCGTACCTCCGATTTATCGCGATCTGCAACAAACCTTCAGTTCCTGGTATGTGCTCTGCCATCTACCTATGTCACGTATTTATTGGCGCCATATTTGCGGTAGGACATTGACATGCACTGCGTGAACAGATTTATCTCGGCATATGGTCCTCGTCTTCGGCGATTCTCAATTAGCCTGCCCTTTTTTGAAGATTACATAATGGACGTACCAGGTATGTCGATCTCATATCCGCATAAGATTGTCACGAGCATGACTATTTCTGGTACTGACGTCCATTCGTCAGAAGACCCGATCACGGAGCTCGCAGTGGGCATCGACTTGAGCCCCTGCCCCACGCTCGACTTCTTGCGAATCCTGGTGAATTCGGAGTTCGTGAGAGACGGAAGGACCGCTATGCTTCAGGCAATGCTCAAGTCATGGAAGGCGGAGGTTTCTCTCCAAACCGTCTATCTCGTGGCACGCGCCGAGGATCAACTGCATCGACAACAATTTGCACGCCTGCTCAGTATAATCGGCCTTGTCCTGGAAAAGTGGCTGTGGAATGGCACTGACACACCGTCAAGTGTAGTTGCTCAGGTCAGCGAGCACGATGTGCGACGACGAGTATCGGTCGGCATTCGTGACAGGCACGTTTGGCGAGGTTGGTGGTGGAAGCGTCTCGAAGAGTGCTTCCCGACGTTCGCGCGGTTTGACGCGCTCCAGATGGATTATGCCATACGTGAGTACTTCTCCGAGAAACATCGTTGCGAGCAAATACGGGAGACTCTCTGAATCTCTCTCGTCATTTAGCAGCGCAGGGCATCCACTCCAAGTGGAAGAACCACGACGCTTCGCCGTCAATGCCCCCAACCACTTTCTATTGGGGAGGACGTGCTTTGGAAGCGAAGCCTATGAATGTATGCGACCATCCATGCTGACACTTCCTGTGGATTGTTGATGTTACCGAGGTCCAACCTCTATGACACTGTGTTTCTCTCGCGAAGGGGCATATTCTGCATTCGACTAGCTAGGAGCGATGGTGAGTAAGATCGTAGGTGACCAACTAGGTTCTGATGGTTATATGCAACCTCTGTAATGATGAAGATATGACAGTATGTCAGTGATGCTATCTGCAAGATAGGGCGATTGCGACTTTATCACGATCTCCAGAGGGAGGCAGACCTGCTCTGAGTGATGTCCCATAGCACGGCACTAGTGCCGTTAGTAGTGACTCCTAGTGGCATGTCTGAATTTGGGCTGTAGTTGAACCAATCCGGCCGCTGATTCGGAGATATATGTTATGGGTTCAAGTTCTTTTTGGGGGGCAAGGAACTAGCGAGGCAGGTGAAGCTGAATATACGCCGTCGTATTTGTTGCGCTCGCACACGCCGCAAATCCCGAGGCCGGAAAGCACCTCGGTGACCGTCGAAATAACTTGGTGGACAACAATAGAAGTATATCCGGCCGCTCACCAAAGTACGATGACAACATCTGTGGGGACTGGCCATCCAGCTTGATGTAGGCACGAATGCACCGTGTTGCTATAATTCAGGACGGCGATGTCATTGACATCCGCACTTTTCACTGCATCAGGAAAACGTCACGGACTTGGACCCATACTTGGGCCCAAGTTCATGTACTTGGACTCAAGTCCGTGTACTTGGCCCCAAGTCCATGTACTTGGCCCCAAGTCCATGTACTTGGTCCCAAGTACACGGACTTGACCCAAGTCTATATACTTGGGGTACTTGGGGTACTTGGGCCACAACTTGGACTTTACATGTTGACTTCAGTATACTCAGGCCTCAATTTGAGCAATTGGTGTTCTATCAGTCACACATCTTGTATACTTCTTATGTAATAATATCTATCATAGACATCCATACACTAGTTGTAAACCAGTCTGTTTTAAGGCTGTAGAAGCAGCTTTATAGTCTATTAGAAGAAGGGCAATAACATGTGATAGAAGACTTTAAGTTGTTACAATGTGCTTGTTTTAGTAGTGATACAGAGGTACAATATCCAGATAATGTTCAAGAATAGTGGTATCAGTGGTGGATGTCCAAGTTCTGC